AGACGATAACTTTTATTATACAATTGAAAATAAAAAACAAAAAGTCATTATCTAGTTCCAGGCCTTAGAGGCAATTGGGGCTGGGGGGAATCTTATAAAAAGGTGATGGTTAAAGTACCATTTTGGTCCCTCAACTTTTTATTTTGGTACCAAAATTATCCCTCAACTTTAAAAAGTACCAAAATTATCTCTCAACTTTAAAAAGTACCAAAATTATCCTTAAACTTTCATTTTCAGTACCAAAATGATCCTTCTGTCAGTTAAATAATAGGTGTCACGTTAACTTGGCAGCAAATCAATTCTTTTTTTGCTTAACTAATGACATGGAAAAAAAAAAAAAAACCATAGTTGGCCTATGAGTTGGCATTTTTATTTAATTTTAAAATAATAATTTTTTTTTCACCCACGTCATCTCTTCTTCCTCTTTCACTTTCTCTTCCTTTACCTTTCCTTTTCCCTTACCTCTGCAAACCAGATCTGGCTCTCAAACTTCATCTTCTTCCTCCTTTCCTCCCCCCTCTTCATCCTTCTTGTTAGGTTCTCTTTGTATTTTGATGATGATTTAAAACCATGATTCAAAAGAGTTTAATCTATTTTTGTGCTAAGTGTGCAGGAAAATTAATCCAAGGTTTCTAATCTTTCCCCACGATTAGAATTAATTCATATTCTCCTTGTTCAGAGTTCTGGGTTCAAACCAATTTATTTTGGTTCGAATCAATCCTGAACTTTTGTTTTCCAAAAATGGTTCGAACCATTATTTCTGGCTTCGAAGCAAAATTCTAGAAGGGTAAATTTTGACAGCTCAACTATTTATTCTTATTCTTAATGGGCCTTGGGGGAACCATTGTCTGAGCACTTTCCAAAGTCAAGTCAAAGTTAGTAGAATAAGGTGAAACCTAATTGGGGCAATTGTGAGGTGGCTTTGAAAGGTTAAATGGGTTTTAATTGCAAGGCTCCTAACCAACTATTAAAAGGGCATCAAAAATCAGATCTGGGAAGGAAGAAGGACGAACTGTTCCAGCAATACAGAAAACAGGGTTTGTTTTTGAAAGTGTTCTGGATCTCCTTCTTCTTCTCTTCTTGTGAGCTTGTCGGTTAATTGTCTTACAAGGATTTTGTATTCTTCTTGGATTGGGATAATCCTTGAAGGGGTTGAGTGAGTTGAGATTCACTTGTGAGGGTTTAATCTTGCACCCGCAAGCAAGAGTTTGTTTTGGTTTAATCTTGCACCCGTAGGCAAGAGATTTCTAGTGGATTGAACTCTCGAGCAAGGAGGCTTGGGGAGTGGACGTATTCCGGGTTGGAGGAACCACTATAAATCATGGTTTGATATTCTCTTCCCTCTCTTTTATTTTTCTGCACTATATTACTCTTGTTTATTATGCACAACAGCTTATATATATTGAAAACTTCATTCATGTTTTTATAAAGGAAATGAAATGAGTTTTATATCTTAGGAATTGAGGGGTAACTAGTTGGGATTACACTTTTTCTTTCTTCTTCTTATTCTTTATTTCTCTCTCTTCTCCTTTCTTCTTCTTCTCTCAAACCCAGATCTAGCATTTCAGCAACCTCGCTCACCTCTAGGGATTTTCAAATTTGAATCATTAAAGTATGTCGATAACACCATAGTTCCACCTAGATTGACAGGAGTTTGAAATAAGGCCAAATAAAGCTTACTCTTTTGAGAAAAGAAACTTGGTCCTACAAACTATCCATAGCTTTGTCATTGTCACACTCTCTAACTTCACCAGGGTATGAACTGGAGGCCCTAAGACCACCCTCCTCAAGGCTATCAAGTCCATCAAACAGGGCTGATCTCGAAGCACGATGCTCCCTACAAAAATAATGACCAAATCATAGAATGTCATTCCGAAAATTCATCTCTAAAAGCAAACATTAACGAGCTGCAAAAAAATGCTCCTTGATCTCCATGTTTAGGCAAAAAAACTTGAAGCAATCTAGGCTCATTTCATTGGCGTACATGTTTCTAAGATCGGTAATGATTTCACAAAAGGAAAATAACAACAAATCCAAACAGAAAAGCAAGAAAACCCTAGGAAGAATTGAATGAATCGCATTGAGAGTATGCAAATGCAAGCAATAAACCGG